ATTCAGACTAATATCATCAAACCAGTGAAATCTTCATTTTTTTGCTAGAAAACAACAACAATAATAAAGTTGGAAGGGACCTTGGAGGTCATCTAGGCCAACCCCCTGCTCAGGCAGGAAATCCTATACCATTTCAGACAAATGGCTGTCCAGTCTCTTCTTAAAAACTTCCAGTGTTGGAGCATTCACCGCTTCTGGAGGCAGGTTGTTCCACTGATTAATTGTTCTTATTGTCAGGAAGTTTCTCTTTAGTTCTAGGTTGCTTCTCTCCTTGATTAGTTTCCATCTGTTGCTTCTTGTCTTGCCTTCAGGCACTTTGGAGACTAGCTTGACTCCCTCTTCTTTGTGGCAGCCCCTGAGATACTGGAACACTGCTATGATGTCCCCCCTCGTCCGTCTCTTCGGGCTTTTCAACCTTTTCACAGATTGTACCACTTTAAGGACATGACAATATTCGAGTACCACCTGTGCTTAGCAAGGTGTCAAAAACTTGATGACTGAAAAAAAAGGGGTGGGGTTTTGGGTTTTACTGATTAGATTCATTTGTTGTTATAGAAATGGCTAGTTTATATTATTATGGAAAAGTAAAAAGTTGATGTTAAGGCTTCATTCTACTGATTGAGAACAAACCAGGTTCAGTTTATCCCATGCTTGCATTTAGTGGGGTCGTCCACAGTCAACAGTATAGCAAAACTGTCAAAATGATGGCTGTGACAGTTGATCAGAGCTCCTGTGTTTTTTATGGGCAACAGCTTTAGCGTTTAGGAACAGAGGTAACTTATTTGCTTTTCTATTACTACATAATCCTTAAAAAGGAACTCCTGTAGGGACCCTGCCTTGGTCTAATTCAGACTGAAAATATAGCAAAGGAAAATGTCCTATTTTCGCCACTGGAAATGGCTGTTGGCAACACACAAGGAGGGGATACTTTCCTAAGAGCTCACAATTCAAGAATACCAGTGTTAACTTGGATTGCCAACAAAGTTCTGTCTGTGACGAAACAGAACACAAAATTGCTTTGTCCTTTGAACTGGGGCATTTCCAACCAAATTGCCTCTCCCCCATTGTTGCCTCTGCACGGCTCTCAGCTCACCTCTCCCAGACCCGCACAAGTGTTTGTGTGTGTGTGTGCGTACGTGCGCGCGCGCGCACACGGGCTGGTAGGTCTCACACCTAGCAGCCCCACACCCTCAACAGAGACCTCCTGCGATGGCAGGCTGCAAACTAATGAAAGCTGTTTTTTTGGAGTACTTCTTTTTCTCAATGTGCTGCCAATCACATCGCGCCCTGCCCCCCTCAGCCCCCAGTGGAAGGCTGCAAGAAGCTCCCATCGCAGCTTATCTCTCCTGTTTTTTTACTCCCCAATGTCACAGCATGGGGCTGCAAGGAGACCCCTCCACATACACACACACAAACACATGCGCGGGTCTGGGAGAGGCAAACTAAGAGCCACACAGAGGCCCTTTAGGCCAGTAGTTCTCAACCTTTTGAATGCCGCAACCCCCAACCGGTCGTAAGTCGAGGACTAAACCGGTCGTACGTCGAGGACTAAACCGGTCGTAAGTCGAGGACTAAACCAGTCGTAAGTCGAGGACTAAACCGGTCGTAAGTCAAGGACTACCTAACCGGTCGTAAGTCGAGGACTTTTCCTGCCCGGGAGCGCTGCGCATGCATGGTTCCGCCCCCTGCGGCGGCCGAGGCGTAGCTGGCAAGTGGCAGAGACGGAGCAGGCCGACCACCAGCTGGCCCAGCTCAAGGGAGGTAAGGCACCCGCCGGAAAAGGGGGAAAAAATGGCGGACAGCCTTGCTTGGCGACCCCGTGAAATGGTTGATCGACCCCAAATGGGGTCGCGACCCATAGGTTGAGAACCACTGCTTTAGGCACAGAGGCAATGACGGGGGAGGGCTCAAAATGGAAAACCTCTGCCCGGAGCCTCGGGCAGCTTAAAAAAAAAACCAAACCTGCAAAGAAGGCAGTCCCTTTCCCAGCTCCTTTCTTCCTTCCTTCCTCTGCGCTCAGGAAGGAATGACGGGAGAGGGAGAGATGGCCAGCGCTGCCGGTGGCGATGCTGCTTCCGGCTGTCGCTATCCCACGTAGGCAGGGGCAATCCCGGTGAAAGGGGAGCCTGGTGGCTGCAAGGCTAGGTCAGTGAGCGGGTGTGGCACTGATCTGGTGGAGGCCATCAAAGCCAGAATGCGCTCAGCCTTAGATCCATGGGGCAGCCCTGGAGCCAGTGAGTCCCCCCCCTGCTGTCTTTGCTCCGCCACCTGGGACCGGAGAAGGCGGCAAGCACGGGAGAACCGGCGTCCTGGGGGAAAGGAAAGCACTTCTCTTGCCTTTTTTCTTTCTCAGTGGTCAGCAGGGACAGTCAGCAGGGATGCCGGGTGCTCGCCGCCTCTTTCTGTGTGGGGGTGAGATGGGGTAGCCCCTCGCTGGCCCTTTTCCCGCCAAACCCTTTTTATATCCTCTCCTCTCTCCCCCCCTCTTCTCTTCAGGGCACCTCCAGCTTCTGAAAGCACCAATCAGCTGGAGCCCGGTGCTGATCCTGGGGCTTCTGCCAAGCCTTGACAGTCCTGCAGCTCCAGCTGTCTCTCCCTCAGGCTTGTGCAGTGCCAAAGTACCACCGGTGGTACATGTACCACCAGTTGAAAAGCCCTGTTATAGAGAATATTGTATAGTATAAATATACTAAATATCTAGTATACAAGAACAAACATAGAAAGAACGTACACGTTGTTTATGTTTCACTTTTGTATCTTGGATATTTTTTTCAAAATAAAACATCTCCATAACTTTTTTTTTATAAATATTTTATTAATTTTCTAATTTTACATTCAAATACTTAACAACATGTCGTCTGGGTCCATTAGTAATTCAGTGGTATATATTAACTTCTTCAGTCCAGATCCATTATTACACCATCTAATGTTTCCTCTCTTCTTCTGGTGATATCGGTTTTCCAATACTAGGCAAATACAATTCTTATTGTCATTAATAGATATAAAATTGAATATCAACATCTTTGTTACATTATTTTTCTAATAATATCGATATTTTTTCTAACCAAAACATATCTTAATTGCATTTGCACTTAATATCCTTATGTTCAATCGGTATCCTGTTTTCGCTTTCTTTTTAAATTTTAATTTCCCATCAGTGTTCAAAATGTCTCTATTGTTTATAATTTCAAAGTAAGTTATATTTGGGTAACCAAAAGCTTCCAGTATTCAAACCTCTTAGCATTTTCCTGTTTTCCTTCTCATACCAAAATCTAATATTCTAATTACAAATCTTATCTTTCTAGTTATGATATTTTTATTTCTAACAATTATCTATTCTCCACCATATTCAAACATCTAATTAATAATATAATATCCCACCTAATAGGTCAAAGCCTCTATTTTCTTCAGTCTTACTCTAGCTTTCTTCCTTTGCCAACTAACTTTCCAAGTCAATGCATTTGAATCATCAAGTAATTCTTCCTCTATTTTTGTGTATATTGTTTGGAATAAGAAAAAACATTTGATTAAAGTATTTTTGGAAGAACGTTCAGCCCACTGATATTCATTAAACAGCCTCCCTCTTTCTCCAGTTTCCCACAGTTCTCCTAACAGCTCTATCTTCTATTCAATTGGTTCTTCTTCCTTTTCCTCAAATGTGTTCTGAGATCTTGATTAGTAAGATGTCTTTTCCATTTCCGATATTATCGCTACATCTTCTAGTTCTTCAAATGTCTGAGTCTGTCTGCTAGTTCCTTCCTTTAGGTCCTCCATCTTTAGATCTGCTTCCTCAAGTTTTCCTTCTATTTTCTGGGTTGCTACTTCCTTCTTTGTAATCATTTTCTGGGTTTGTAAATTTAGATTAGAAAATTGTTCTTTTATCTCCTTTGTGTTATTTCTGGCCTCATCACGAGCTAAGGCAATTGTCTCTTGTATTGATTTCAACATGGAGATAATTTCTTTCTGAGCTTCATCAGTATTTTCTTGGTGGTATGTCAAACTGAAGATTTGGAGACAGGTGTTAGAGATGGTTTTTTACCATTTAAAGCTGAGTATGGGACATCCATTTTATTTTTTTGTAAGTGACCTTTAGGGTAAAAATTGTTCATCAGTCAAAGATTTATAATCCAAAGTATTCCATCGTCTCAAGCAATAATATGTTTTCCTTCTGCAGGGAAATAGTTCCAAAACACAGCTCTGAAAATCAGTTAATATTTATGTTCGTAGTTCAGGCAGGCCAATTTCAAAGTAGTTTATCGTCTCTGTCAAATAGGTAAGTAGCCCAAGAGTTTGGTTTTTTCCCCGTTTTCCCAGCTGCAGTCTTCAAAAGTGAAAGTTTCCAAGGCCAGCAAGTCTTATCTGAATTTGGGCTTCAAGCCAAATTTCCTTTAAGCATAATAAAATTGTAGTGCTGTAGTTCGCCAGTAGATGTCATTAGCACTGTTTTCCAGCTTTTTATATCCAAACTTATATTACAAGCTTTTCAAGTCTCTTTTTTTTTTAAAAAAGTCTCAAAAGCACTTTTAGTCCCCAAATTTCAAAGCCATATATGTGTATTAATTCCAAATTACTCTTGTAATTTTTTCTGTTTTCCCCCAAGCAATTAGTTTGCCACTTTTTCCCCCTGAGGGAATGGGGTGGAAATTCCCCTTTCCTCTCTCATCAGGGAGAGTATTTTGGGCATTTCTTTCCAGCAAAAAGTCTTAGAGTCATAAAGAGAGGATACGGTATCACCCAGTTTCATCCCCACTGCTGAAAAGTTGCTCGTTGGTGCTTATTTGCTTCAGTTGTCAGCAGCTTCTGACTGGCTACACAAATGTAGCCAGTCTTTCCCCCACCGGTTTGGAGGGCTTTCTCGGATCAAACGGAAGGGCTGCCATCCTCCCGTGATTGAGGGTCCCCTTCTTGTTCGCGCCTCTTTGGGGCAACTTTTGACCCTTTCCAGGGTTGCGAGCGGGGCAAAATCGAACACGGGAGCCCCGTCTCCATACGCACGTCTCGCCACAACATCAAACCGGAAGTCTCAAACATTTCCACAACTCTTATCGGAGACTGAAAATTTAAATTGTCTAGAATTCATGCTTTTGATGGATCTTTCGAGCTCAAGTCAATCAAACTGGCTATGGTTTAAAAAGAATCCATGACAAATTGGTGGTAGTGGTGGTAGTTTTCCAATTGTTCCTTCAAACCACTTCTCACACTTCCTTTATTGATGTGGTTTCTCCTGAGTGTGGATCTTTCTATGACGAGTAAGAGTGCAATTCCTGGCAAAGCTCTTCCCACATTCCATGCATTGATATGGTTTCTCTCCTGTGTGGCTTCTCTTGTGGGAGTTAAGGCTACTGCTACAAATAAAGGTCTTTCCACACTCCGTGCATTCATATGGTCTTTCTTCTGTGTGGCTTCTCTTGTGGGAATTAAGAGTATTGCTACAAGTAAAGGTCTTTCCACACTCCGTGCATTCATATGGTCTTTCTCCTGTGTGGATCCTTTTATGGGCGATAAGACCAGAATTCCACCTAAAGCTCTTTCCACATTCCATACATTTATATGGCTTCTCTCCTATGTGGACCCTCTTGTGGGAATTAAGACTAGTGCTACGAATAAAGGTCTTTCCACAGTCCAAACATTTATAAGGTCTTTCTCCTGTGTGATTCCTTTCATGTCTTATAAGAGAGTTATAATAACAGAAGGTCTTTCTACACTCCGTGCATTGATATGGCTTTTCCTTTGTATGGATAGGTTTATGGTGAATCAGATTCGTTTTCCTACTAAAGCTCTTTCCACACTCCATGCATTGATATGGCTTCTCCTTTGTATGGATAGGTTTATGGTGAATCAGAGCTCTTTTCCTACTAAAGCTCTTTCCACACTCCATGCATTGATATGGCTTCTCCCCTGTGTGAATACTCTTGTGGGAAATAAGACTACTGCTACAAGTAAAGGTCTTTCCAGCCTCCATACATTGATACTGTTTCTCTCTTGTATGAATCCTCTTATGGGAGGCAAGATTATTACTGTTCCTAAAATCCTTTCCACACTCCGTGCATTGATATGGTTTCTCTTGTGTGTGGACCCTGTTGTGGTAATTAAGACTACTGCTACAAGTAAAGGTCTTTCCACACTCCATGCATTTATAAGGTCTTTCTCCTTTGTGATTCCTCTGATGGATTATGAGAGAGTAATTATAAGAGAAGGTCTTTCCACATTCCATGCATTGATACGGCTTCTCTCCTGTGTGGATCCTCTTATGGGAATTGAGGCTAGTCTTATAAGTAAAGGTCTTTCCACATTCCATGCATTGATATGGCTTCTCTCCTGTATGGATCTTCTTGTGGCAATTAAGATTACTGATACAATTAAAGGTCTTTCCACACTCCGTACATTTATAAGGTCTTTCTCCTTTGTGAATCCTTTGATGGATTATAAGAGACTTAGAATAACCGAAGGCCTTTCCGCACTCCACACAATTATATGGCTTCTCTTTTGTGTGCTTCATCTTATGGGTACTAAGATGAGTGGCACAAGTAAAGCTCTTTCCACACTCAATGCATTGATATGGTCTTTCTCTTTTGTGAGTCCTTTCATGACTTCTAAGAGAGCGATTATTACAGAAGGTCTTTCCACACTCCTTGCAGGTATGTGTTTTCTCTTCTAAATGTGTCTTTTTATGGGAAATGAGTTGATCAGATTTATTAAAGCTTTTTCCACACTCCGTACATTTATATGGTTCTTCTCCCGTATCAATGCTTGTAGAGTTAGGAAGCCGACTGACACGAGGAAAGCCTTTTTTAATTCCACTTTGTGATTGATTTGTTTCATCACTCTTCGGTTGCATCTGATCTGCAAACTTCCCTTTTCCCTCTTTTGATTGGCTCACTTGGCATTTCTCCTTGCAATTATTATTCTCTTGCCCAGTAAAGCCTTGAAAAAAAAGAAAAGAAAACTGTAGCAAGAACAGGGGGGAAAAATCAAACCTTTTCTTCTGAAATTTAGCCAAAGAATCATCAATATATTTTGGATGTTTTGTTGGCAAATGTGAAGATTCCAAACTAAGATTTTAAAAAAGACCCATTTCTAACTGGATCTCTACTGATCCTCATATAAAGGGTTTGGATCACATCAAAACATACCTAAGACACAACCCTGATCTAATCTTTGACTTGGGACTATTCCATGGTGCTCAAGAGAAGCCACAACATTTCTGCATGCAGCCTGTCCCTCACATTCTAGCTAATATCTTCTATGTCATGGAAATGAAAATTTATATTTATCAGCAGAAAGCATTTTTTAAAAAAACCATTATGTAAAAAGGAAGGTTAGGCAGTTTTCCAATTTTTCTTCCAATAAATTTCCTTCTTCCATAAATTCAGTTTGGTCAAACGGTTAAGGCACCAGGCTAGAAACTGGGTGACTGGGAGTACTAGTTCTGCCATAGTCATGAATGCTGGCTGGGTGACTTTGGCCCAGTCTCCCTCAGCTCAACCCAGGTCACAAGGTTCTTGTTGTGGGGAAAAATGCAGGAGGAAGGAATATTGGGGTTGGCCGCTGCCTTTATCATTTGCAAAAAAATAAAGGCAGGATATGAATTAATAAGTGATGGTTTTTATCAGAAGTATCATCTAAGCCCTCCACCCCACGACTTCTCTACCTTTCCGAGCACAGACATAGTTCTTACCCAGAGAAGCCAGATTCCTGGAATTCTCCAGCATGACTTCTCCGTGGAGAGCTTTTTGGGCAGGATCCAGCTGAGACCACTCCTCCTTGGAAAAAAACACGGCCACTTCCTCAAAAGATACAACATCCTGAACAAGGAAACAAGTTTCTCTATTAACAGATAATCCAAGAATAATTGGATAGTTTTTTCCCACTAATACAAGGAAAGAGCTTGTAATAATATATGTCTATGGAGATTCTCAGTCAGGTCATGGTTGTCCCAAAGATGCTTTTCAAAAGGAAAAAAACGGTATATTTCTTTATAATGTTATATGAAAATGACCCTGGGAGACAGGAAGAAGAGCCCCAATGCAGACAACAGTCGGGTCAATGAAATCTGATGGTGAAGCAGGAAGGGTGGAGAAAGTATCTCACAAAGGATCCCCTCAGAAGAGAGAGGATAGGCTAAGCTGAGCGTGCATGTTCAATGACCAGATGTCAAATTTATATTGCTTAGAAACAGCAATTTTATACATTGAACTCTAGAACAAAATGAAATCCATCCACGTTTCTCCTCCTTACCAGAAGTAGAGGTTCAGACAATCCTTCAGCTGCACCACAAAGAGGAGGTGACTCTACAAATTCCAAGGTCAGCTTTCTACTCTCTGTGAGAGAGAGAAAAATGGTGGAAGCAGATTTGTTAAAGAGAGAGATTCCAATGAAGTGCAGCAAAACAATCAACATCACACAGAAAGAGATTCTGTTACCTCGCATGGTGTCCTGACTTTGACCTTTCTGGAAGCTCTTCCTGAACAGCAGCTCTTGAGAGGATTTGGATGAATCTTTCCTCCCCTTGGGATACTCGGTCACAGCTTCCAAGGATTTCTGGACATGATGTGATACAAGAAATAAAGGAAGAGCACAGAGATAGAAATGAATTATCATACTGTACCTTCAAACTAGTAGACCCCAATATCCTTTGTTGAAACCCGAAACAGAATAGAAGAATTGCCCCAAATACATCCTCTGGAAGAATAGAACAAATAGCCTTAGGAGTTAATAATTCCAGAAAACTCGGACAGAAAGGAATTGACAAATTCAGAGAGATCCTCTTTAGACCCGTTAAGACTATATTCTCACACCTGGAACTCTTCTTGTATCTTTTCCACATCCACGTTCAGCAAGAAGCCTTCGGCCAAGGCTACCGCCTGGGAACTAGATTCTGCTCCATACTCCCGCACCCATTTTGCCATCTCTGGGGATAGGACAGCCAGGAATTGCTCCAGGACCACCAGGTCCAGCATCTGAGCCTTCGTGTGTCTTTCTGGCTGAAGCCACTGACGGCAAAGGAGGTGAAGCTGACTGCAAATATCTCGGGGACCCCTCCCCTCCTGGAACTGCACATTTCTGAAGTGACAGTATTGCACCTCTGAACTGTTGGCTTCCTGTTCTTGACTCTTCTGCCCAGGACTTGCCCCATTCTTCCCACAGCTTCCAGAGTGAGCAGCTGAAGGGCCTTTTCCAGCTCCTGCATCTGCTGAGCATTGTCCCTCCATCTTCTTTCTGGTCTCTAATCCAGCTCCAAAATGGACTGATCGATCTCCACAGGTCTTTCTAATCACAAGAGGTCTGGCCAAATCTCCTAAAGGCCATTCAGCCCTCTTCCCACACAAGTTACTTAGGACTCCAGGGGAACCAGAAAAGCTTTCCAACTTATGTATCTGTAATGAAAAACAAAACAAAATTCCAGAAATACAGAGTGACCAACTTAACAACCCAAATAAGAATTCTTATGAACCCACCGATATCTAGGAAGAGGGGGGAAATCTTAGTGGGTAGACTGACCGATATATATGTGAAAAAATTTTGTAGTAAGCTGGTGGATCGACTTCTATCAAGGACTAAACAGTTTGGATACATACATTTAAAATATGTTTTGATTTCTAATTTCTACTTATTTATTTAAATAATTCTGATGGCTGCTTGCAGCTTAAAAACCAACCTCTGTGCAATCCAGATCATAAATGTCTCAGATCACAAACAGCCATTGAGATGAGCGGCTTTCTAAATTGATTTAATAGGTAAATCAATCAATATTTGAATTTTCAATAAAACTTTAGCCAGCAGAACCCCATTAACCTCCTGGCCCATCTTCTCTCTGGTCTCTAATCCAGCTCCAAAACCGACTGATAGATCTGCACAGGTCTTCCTAATCAGAAGAGGTCTGTCAAAATTTCCTAAGGCCATTTAGCCCTCTTCCCACACAAGATATTTATGACTCAAGAGCAATCAGGAAAAACTTCCAACTTATATATCTAAAATGGGAAACAAAAACTAATTCCAGAAATACAGGTTGACCAACTTAACAATTGAGCACATATAAAAACTGAAAGAAGAAATTCTTATGAACCCACCAATATCTGGGAAGAGCGGCGAAATCTTTGTAGCTAGTGACGTATCTCTGTGTGGAAAAAAATTCTGTAGTAACCTTCTGGATCAACTTTTTTCAAGGACTAAACAGTTTGGATACATAAATTTAAAACATGTTTTTGATTTCTTATTCCTACTTATTTATTTAAATAATTCTGATGGCTGCTTGCAGCTTGAAAACCAACCTCTGTACAATCCAGATCATAAACGTCTCTGGTCACAAACAGCCATTGAGAAGAGCGGCTTTCTAAATCGATTTAATAGGTAAATCAATCAATATTTGAATTTCCAATAAAACTTTAGCCAGCAGAACCCCATTAACCTCCTGGCCCAAACCGCTATAGGTACCTGAGAAGTCACAATCAACAAACCAGCATCCAATGCAAACAGAATAATACCGGAATCAATAAACCAGCTATGGCTTAACATGTTTCAGGCATCTCCTGGAAACAGGATCCCCACTTTTAGCAAAATCCTGAATGGCTCCGACCTTTCTGGCGATCCTGGTTTTCTTCCTGGAGGCAACGCAGCGCGTCCGGAGCTTTGGTTTCTTCCCTGCCTGGCCCGTGCATGCACAGGGGCGGCAGGGGAACATGGGACCCCGGGCTCCCCCCTTTCCACGACTCAGAACCTGATGAAGTTTTACGTCCAGTCCGGGGAAGAAACGTCCTCCCACTTACTGAACTCCGGAGTCAGGTCTTGATCTCCGTCCGTGCAAGGCTTCCCTTGCAGCCTCTGGGCTTCCTGGAAAGGCTCAGCCTAAGGCTCGCAGCGGGGGGGGCACGGGGGGGGAGGGAGAACTGCAAGAAAGGCGGACGCACTTTCAGCCTTTTCTGCAAAACGCCCCCTCCTCTCTCCACCTGGGGAAAGAGCGCATGCTCAGTTCACTCCTGAAGGGGGGGCGGGTGAGGGCTTCCCTGCCTTTCCAACGGCTACCCCGGGTGCCCCCTGGTGGATCCTGCTCGCAACGCTACATGGATCCTCCAAGGGCGTAGGGAAGATCCTCATGTTCCATGCGGACCTGGGATGATGGGCATTGGAGTAGAAGGAAAGGGTCCCTCTGACACTGCCTGTCTCGAGCTGGTAGCAATTTCTAGATTTTCCCTTTGTAATGTCTAAGAATCTGCGATCTTGTGAATAATGAGAAAATCTCTGTGGAGGCTCAAAAGAAACATGAGCCTCTCTTTGAAGCCCAGGTTGTGTGGTGTGGTTGTTGGCAAACACAAGCCTGAAGTGAGGGAAGATAAAGGGGAGTGGCAGAGTCAAAGGAGGGGAAGTGAAGGGGTAGGAAAATGAAGATTTGTATTGATTGTTTTATTTAGTGAGTTCAATCATTACAGCTGCCTTTTCAAATTCATGCCCCCGGGCGGCTAATAGTGGTTGAAAATTGTAAGTGGCGGCAGCAAAAATGAAAATAATCCTGAAGCATCATAAGAAAACAAGTTCCAAAATGGAGGGAAAGCGCAAATTCATGGAAGTTTTTGACATTTTACCTCAAAACGAGAGTCCATGATGGAGAAATGAATGGTGTCTCATAGATGACTGGAGAAAAGGTGGAATTACAAAATGCAGGAGGGCAAACTTTGAGAAGTACATATACAGTTCAAATTCCATGAGGGGAAAAAAAGAAAAAATGGCTTCATTTCGGTTTTCAGTAGGGAATACAATTCAGGAAATATGAGTAGGAAGTTTAAAGACAAGCTAAGGCAGGTGTACAAAAGAAAATACCATTTTTCTTCTAGCCAAAAGAGCTGAAGACTCCCATGATTTGAAGAGATTAGTCTGGATTTGGAGGTGACAGTGGAAGAACAACAAAGAGATTTATCTACATTTAGTGCTTTTTTTGTTAAAAAAAAAAATAGGTGCCAGAATTCACACACGTCATACAACCCGCCTTGTCTACCCTACAAGGTTTACCTTTGTAGTTGAAAAAAAAAATCCTTCAATTTTTAGTGTATCTAAAAGACTAGGATTTTGTTCAAGGTAAGTTAATACTGTTAATGTTACCATGCACTGTGTGGCTTTAAATTACAAGAAGGCATTTTATTAATCTTTTGGGACATTTACCACTGGCATACCCATTTAGTTTAATGAGTGGAAATGTCAGCTTTCTATGTGGCATGAAATTGGCCGAATAAAAGAAAATTTGGTTGCTTGTCAAAGATTGAATTATTTTTAAGACGTCGTCAAACAAGGTGGAAAAAATTTACATTTGGAGTTTAATATGGATATTGACTTGAAACGAATTAAAGGTGAAACGTTGTCAGTGAACGGATTACTTTTAATTTACCTTTAAGTTACACCCAATTTAATAAATAGATCAGATTAAACCTCATGCTGTAGGTCTACCTTTACATCTGACCAATACATAATTAATATATATTATTATGAATAGTAATATCTGCAAATCACAAGACATTGGCTTGATTCTTATTCTTCCCCTCTGCAGTTTGAATATAAAGTATAAAAGACTAAAAAGAGATTTTCGTAGACATCCCAGCCTTCGAACTACCCGAAGGAACTGAAACAGCAAAGTTTCGCCGTTGGGCAAGCTTCCACGCCAGCCGCCTTTCTTTCCTCTCGCTTCACCTCTTTTTAATCCCACACCCTACCTTCTGTAAGGGAAGGCAAAAGGCTCACTCACTCTCTCGTGAAAGATGGCCTCCATGTTTCTGTGTCTCCCACCACCACTATCGGCTTCCACACCACATGGTCCGACCCAGCCAATCAAGCCACGCTCTGGCTGTGGTGCTCCGGCGCCTCATGGCTCCTCCGCTTGCAGCTTGACAATAACAAGGGGGGGAATGGATGGAATGCAAGGGTGGGAGATGGTATCCAAGCCACCTGTTGTGGCTCCGTCTTGTGAGCCCCTCTTATCGGAGGAAGAAGGCTCCGAACATGAAGGAGAGGAGATGGCCAGGCCTCCCTCTCCAGGACCCTCGTCTCTGGCAATGCCTCAGGTGTCTCCCGACGGAGAAGAGATTGACCAGGAGCCAGGTGTTTCTGAGATTGGCCAGGAGCCAGGTGTTTCGGATAGTGATGAAGATACGTTGTGGCTGGATCCACACCAGCGTAGGTGCGACAATCGTGCACAGCAGAAAAGGAGACGTGCCAGAGATTAAGCTGAGTCACTGGACCACACCCCACAGGCTATAAAAGGGAGGTGGTGGCCATTTGGACTCTGTGACGGACAAAGCTAAATCTCTGGCGAAGTAGTTTGCTGTGGATTGAATTTCAAACTGTGTGTATTGTTTTTTGTTTCTGTGTTCTCTGAGTAAAACTTCTTGGCAGGCAGATATGGAGCTGCTGCCAAGTTTTCTTATCTGTGGCGGGGAGTGTGGAGAAGTTATTTAACCCTCGGCTGGCTGTTTGGGTGTGTGTGTCAGATGGGGACAGAAAACCACCGTCAGCTTCCATGAGACATTGCTGGCATTTCAAGGACACAGAACAAAAGTCCCAGTGTGGCTGGCTGTTTCCCAAAACAATACGAACAGAAATGATTGGTGGACATTATGTACTGTGGGTGGCCCGTAGGGAAAAGGGCGTAATTAACTCTGCTTGCTTTTGTGCGGGAAACCCAGTGCTGGTTTCCCTTCTTCTGTGCCAGTTGTGGCTTTTTCAGTAAAGTTTTATACACTTGGTAAAATAATGTCCCAGGAGTTTTTCTAGATTTGCTAACTGGACAGTTGACATTAAACCAGCTCTCTCTGTAGTAGCCTACCTGGACCCCACTAGGAAGTTGGCAGCTTCAAGATGTTGGCAGCCGACAAAGGAACAGATGGAGGGGTGAAACCAGGGGAAGCCTCCTTTTGAGAGACCTTGTCGATGGCCCAAGCCGAAGCTGGGATGCAAGCGGCTGGCGCATGCCCCCAAAAGAGGGCTGAGAAGCCTAAAGCCCCTTCCACATTCCACACATTGATATGGCTTCTCTCATATGTGGACCCTCGTGTGGGAATTGAGACTACTGCTGCAAGTAGAGGTCTTTCCACACTCCATGCATTTATAAGGTCTTTCTCCTTTGTGATTCCTCTGATGGATTATAAGAGAATGATTATAGGAGAAGGTCTTTCCACATTCCATGCATTGATATGGCTTTTCTCCAGTGTGGATCCTCTTATGGGAATTAAGACTACTGCTACGAATAAAGAACTTTCCACACTCCGTGCATTTATAAGATCTTTGTCCTGTGTGATTCCTTTCATGACTTCTAAGAGAGTGATTATTACAGAAGATCTTTCTCCACTCCATGCAGGTACAGTAGTGGCCAAAATTGTGGAAACCGTTGGGGAAAAGTGTACAGTAGAAATGCCACTTTTGGTTAAGTTTCCACCAATTTTTCTTCTAATTTCTTTATAACTGTAGCTTTGTTCACTTAATAATATTTTACATCGCTTTCTGGGCGACCAGTCAACTCTTTGCACCATTACTTTAATTTTATTACGTTTTACAAGCTAACTAAATGAAAGAACACAAAAAACCCAAGCAACTTGATAGCGACCACATAACACAGGAACAAATGTCCTCCTCTCAACTTCAATACATGACATCAATAACTGGCTCCTTCTGTGATCTGATTGGCTCATTGCCAAAACAAGATGACACCTGATTGGCTCTCTAAACACTCATGCTCATTGGCTACAATCAGATGAAGGAAAGCTACCTGATATCAACCTAAGCAAGTTGTGCTTCCTTTTTCTGGTTATTTGGCTATAACTTTTCATAGAACACAATACAGATAATTGAACAAACTATGTTGCATTACATTCTTGATTAAATTATCTTTCCATTGATATATAACTTTATGGTACTACTCCCCCCAAAACGTGGTGTTATTAGCCATCAAACCTCAAAAATAAACTTTTCCCAAATGGTTTCCACAATTTGGCTAGTACTGTATATGATTCTTCTCCCATATCAATGCATGTACGGTTAGGAAGCCAACTGGCCCAAAGAAAGTCTTTTTTAATTCCATTTTGTAATCCTTTTGTTTCATCACTCTTCAGCTGCATTTCCCTTTCCCCTGTTTTGAATGGATCACTTGGAATTCCTCCTCAAAATTCTTATTCTCTTGCCCATTAAAGCCTTGAAAAAAGAAAAGAAAACTGTAGCAAGAATGGGGAAAAAAATTAAACCCTTTCTTCTAAAATTTAGCAAAAGAATCATCAATATATTTTGGCTGTTTTGTTGGCAAACATGAAGATTCCAAACTAAGATTTTAGCAAAGACCCATTTCCAAGTCTACCCCTACTGGTGCTCATATATCAGAATTGGACTAAATCACAACAAACCTAAGACACAACCCTGATATAATCTTTGACCTGGGACTATTCTATAGTTCCACATACTCCCTAAGTGCACCGAATACTGTACCATGCTGGGTTAGCAACATATCCACTAGCTCCCCAACGTCAATGGAAGTCTCGTCTCCACTTGTCTGTCCGGATTCAATCCATAGCTCGGTGGTGTTTGGTTTTTATTCCCCCCGTCTGCTGGGTGGTTGCAGCAGGTTTTGGTCACTTCACATGACCCTGGGACACTGTGACCATCATAAATATGAATCAGTTGCCAAGCATCTCAATGTAAATCACAAGACCCTGGAGATGCTGCAATATTCCAGCGGATCGGCGCTTCTTCTGGGCTCAGCAGAAGCGCCAGGATCAGTGCCGAGCTCCAGCTGGAACCTGGTGCTGATCCTGGCGCTTCTGCTGAGCCCTGAGAGCCCTGCAGCTCCAGCCATCTCTCGGTCAGGCTTGTGCGGTGCTGCCACCGGTTCAGCTCATTCCCTTCCCCCACTATTTTTCTAGGAGGGTCGCGTACCACCTGCCAGGTGCCAATGTACCACAGGTGGTACCCGCACCACTGGTTGAAAAGCCTTGCTCTAGTAAGACAGTTGACATGCTGAAAGTATTTTAGTAGGTCTTGGCTTATGTTAGTGTATCTGTCTTCAGCCTACATAATCAAGTCAGCTAGAGTTTGTAATGCATTGTTTGTTCAAATTTTGGAATATACAATGCAAATAGAATGAATAAGGAAAACTATCGTGGAGAATGAAATGGTTTACAATTGATAATTAATGTCTCTAAGTCCACATCACATAACTTCTTTAGTGTGGTTAAATTTTTACATCATTGGTTGTTGACACAAAAGCAGAGACGCCCTTCCTTTCTTTTTACCGGATGTTTCTGCAATTCTGTCCACCCTCTGTATCTGAAATTCTGGGAAATGCATGCTGCTATCATCAATTGACTCATTTAGCCAGGTTTCAGTGAAGCAGAGGGCAGCTGAGTAGTAAAAATCAGAGTTGCATCTGTTTAAAACAAGTATTTCATCCATCTTATTAGCAAAAGAGTGAAGGTAGAGATTTTTATTCCATTTTTCCTTACTCTATTCAAAATCCCTTACTCTATTCAAAATATGTTCTGTGGCATGGAAATAAGTATTTTGTATTTTATCAGCAGAAAGCTTTTTGAAAGAAATCCATTTTTTATACAAAAAAGGAAACCTGTGCAGTTTTTAAATTTTTCTTTCAAAGCCCTTCTCACACTTCCTTTATTGAAATGGTTTCTCTCCAGTGTGGATCCTTTTATGGTACTTGAGACTACTCCAACCAGTAAAAGTCTTTCCACATTCCAGGCACTGATATGGCTTCTCTCCAGTGTGGATTCTCTTATGGTAATTGAGACTACTCCAACCAGTAAAAGTCTTTCCACATTCCATGCATTGATAAGGTCTTTCTCCTTTGTGATTCCTTTCATGACTTCTAAGAGAGTGATTATAAGAGAAGCTCTTCCCACACTCCATGCATTGATATGGCTTCTCTCCTGTGTGGCTTGTCTTGTGGGAATTGAGGCTACTGTTACGAGTAAAGCTCTTTCCGCACTCCATGCATTGATATGGCTTCTCTCCTGTGTGGATCCTCTTATGGTAATGAAGATAGCTGCTACTAGTAAAGGTCTTTCCACACTCCGTGCATTTATAAGGTCTTTCTCCTTTGTGATTCCTATGATGGATTATAAGGGAATGATTATAAGAGAAGGTCTTCCCACACTCCATGCATTGATATGGCTTCTCCCCTGTGTGGATTCTTTTGTGGGAGGTAAGGGCACAATTCCACTTAAAGCCCTTTCCACATTCCACACATTTATATGGCATCTCTCCTATGTGGACCGTCTTGTGGGTATTAAGATGATCGGTACAAGTAAAGCTCTTTCCACACTCCGTGCATTTATAAGGTCTTTCTATTGTGTGCTTCATTTGATGGATTAAAAGAGACTTAGAATAACAGAAGGTCTTTCCACACTCCATACATTGATACAGCTTTTCTCCTGTGTGGATCCTCTTATGGGAGGAAAGATTACTATTCCTCATAAAATGCTTTCCACACACCACACATTGATATGGCTTCTCTCCTGTGTGGATCCTCTTGTGGACATTAAGACTACTGCCATAAGTAAAGGTCTTTCCACACTCCAGGCACTGATATGGCTTCTCTCCAGTGTGGATCCTCTTATGGGAATTGAGACTACTGCTACGAGTAAAGGTCTTTCCACACTCCATGCATTTATATGGTTCTTTTCTCATATCAATGCTTGTATGGTTATGACGCCAACTGACCCTCGGAAAGCCTTTTTTCATTCCACTTTGTGATTTCTTTGTTTCATCACTCTTTGGCTGTATCTGATCTGGAAACTTCCCTTTTCCCTCTTTTGAATGGATCATTTGGCATTCTTCCTTGCAATTCTTATTTTCTTGCCCTTTAAAGCCTTGAAAAAGAAAAATGAAAACTGTAGCAAGAATAGGGGAACAATCAAACCTCTTCTTCCTGATCTAATCTTTGACCTGGGACTATTCCATGGTGCCACAATGACGTTTTTTATCAGAAATATCATCTAAGCCCCCACGCCCACCCCATGACTTCTCTATGTTTCCGAGTACAGACAGGGATTCTTACCCAGAGAAGCCAGATTCCTGGAATTCTCCAGCATGACTTCTCCGTGAAGCGCTTTTTGGGCAGGGTCCAGCTGAGACCACTCCTCCATGGAGAAATACACAGCCACTTCCTCAAAAGACACAACATCCTGAAGAAGAAAAGAAATTTCCCTATTAACAGATAATCCCAAGAATAATTTGAGGTTTTTCTTCCATTAATTCTAGGAAAGAGATCCAGTGAACAGAATGGGCATCCTCTGCAGAATTCAGAGTGAGATCTCACCGCTTTTGGCTGATGACATAACTGAAGCAGATTGGATCTAGTTGGAGGTATTTGGAATGACTCTCAGCATAGCCAACTAAAATAGTTTTCTTGGTCAATTGGTAGTTGGGTCTTAAATCCACTACTTATCAGTGGCTCCAATTCTTCCTAGGGTGGGCAATGCAAAATACTGACAAAACACACCTATTTTTGCCAATGGCTTACTTTATCCACTGAGGGACCAACATACGCTATATCCACACTTTCATGAAGGTGTTAAAAGAGATTGTAATAGTACTATATATATATATCTATGGAGATACTCAATCACCAGATCACACTTGTCCCAAAGATGCTTTTCAAAAGGCAAAATAAGGATTTTTTTGTAATGGTATGTGAGAATGACCCTGGGAGACAGAAGGAACAGCCCCAATGCTCACAACTGTCTGGTCAGGAGGAGAAAGCATCTCACAAAGGATCCCCTCAGAAGAGAGAGGATAGGCTAAGCTGAGCGTGAATGTTCAATGACCGGATGTCAAATTTATATTGCTTAGAAACAGAAATTTTATACATTGAACTCTAGAACAAAATGAAATCCATCCAAAATTCATGGACCTTTTCCGACGTTTCTCCTCCTTACCTGAAGTAGAATTTCAGCCAATTCTTCAGCTCCACCACAAAGAGATGACTCTACAAATTCCACAGACAGCTTTCCACTCTCTGTGAGACAGAGAAAAATGGTGGAAGCAGATTTGTTAAAGAGAGAGATTGTAATGATGTGCAGCTAAAGAATCAGCTAAATGTTGAAATCTCACATCACACAGAAAGACCTTCTGTTACCTGGCGTGATTTCCTGACTTTGACCTTTCTGGAAGTTCTCCCCGAACAGCAGCTCTTGAGAGGGTTTGGATGAATCTTTCCCCCCCTTGGGATACTCAGTCGTGGCTTCCAAGGATTTCTGGACATGATGTGATAGGAGAAACAAAGGAAGAGCACAGAGATAGAAATGAATTATCATAGTGCAGCTTCAAACTACTACAATGTCCATTGTTGAAACCCGAAATAGAATGGAAGAATTGCCCCAAATACATCCTCTGGAAGAATAGAACAACTCGCTTTAGGAGTTAATAATTCCAGAAAACTCTGACCTGTTAAGACTATATTCTCACACCTGGAACTCTTCTTGCATCTTTTTCACATCCACGTTCAGCAAGAAGCCTTCGGCCAGGGCCACCGCCTGGGAACTGGTCTCTGCTCCACACTCCCGCACCCATTTCTCCATCTCTGGGGGAAGGAAAGCCAGGAACTGCTCCAGGAGCACCAGGTCCAGCATTTGGGCCTTTGTGTGTATTTCTGGCTGCAGCCACTGACAGCAAAGGCGGTGAAGCTGACTGCAAACATCTCGGGGACCCCTCCCCTCCTGGAACTGCACTTTTCTGAAGTGACAGCATTGGACCTCTGAACTCTTGGCTTCCTCTTCTTGACTCTTCTGCCCAGGACTTGCCCCATTCATCTCAAAGCTCCAAGACTGAGCAGCTACACGGCTTTTTCCAGCTGGGCGTTGTCCCTCCATCTTGTCTCTGGTCTCTAATCCAGCTCCAAAACAGACGGATGGATCTGCACAGGTCATCCTAATCAGAAGAGGTCTGTCAAAATTTCCTAAGTCCATTTAGCCCTCTTCCCACAAAAGATACTTAAGACTCAAGAGCAATCAGGAAAGATTTCCAACTTATATATCTGAAATGGAAAACAAAAGAAAATTCCATAAATACAGGTTGACCAACTTAACAACTGAGCACATATAAAAACTGAAAGAAGAAATTCTTATCAACCCACCAATATCTGGAAAGAGAGGTGAAATCTTTGTAGGTAGTGACGTATCTCTGTGTGGAAAAAAATCTGTAGTAACCTTCTGGATCAACTTCTTTCAAGGACTAAACAATTTGGATGCATAAAGTTAAAATATGTTTTTGATTGCTTATTGCTACTTATTTATTCAAATAATTTTGATGGCTGCTTGCAGCGTGAAAAGCAACCTCTGAACAATCCAGATCATAAATGTCTCAGGTCACAAATAGACATTGAGATGAATGGCTTTCTAAATCGATTTAATAGGTAAATCAATCAATATTTGAACTTCCAGTGTAACTTTAGCCAGCAGAACCTCATTAAACGCCTGGCCCAAACTGCTATGGCTACCTGAGAAATCAACAAACCACCATTCAATGCAAACAGAATAATACCCGAATCAATAAACCAGCTTAATATGATGTTTTCATTCACGCATCTCCTGGAAACAGGTTCCCCACTTTTAGCCTAATCCTGAATGGCTCCGACCTTTCTGGCGATCCTGATGTTCTTCCTGGAGGCAACGCAGCGCGTCCGGAGCTTTGATTTCTTCCCTGCCTGGCCCGTGCATGCACAGGGGCTGCAGGGGAACATGGGACCCCGGGCTCCCCCCTTTCCACAACTCCGAACCTGATGAAGTTTTGGTTTCTCCATGCACGGTCCAGCCCGTGAAAGAAACGTCTCCCCACTTACTGAACTCCGGAGTCAGGTTTTGGTCTCCATCCATGCAAAGCTCCCTTGCAGCCTTTGGGACTCCTGGGAAGGCTTAGCCTAAGGATCGCAGCGGGGAGGAGGCAGTGGGGGGGGGGAGAGAGAGAGAGAGAGAGAGAGAGAGAGCGAGAGAGAGAGAGCGAGAGCAGAATCGCACCCGTAGGAAGGGCGGAAGCACCATCAGCCTCTTCTGGACAATGCACCGAGCATGTCTCTCGACCTGCTGGAAGAGCGCATGCTCAGTTCTCTCCTGAAGCGGGGGCAGGTGAGGGCTTTGTAACGGCAGCCCAGGGAGCCCCCTGGTGGATCCTGCATGCAACGCTAGATAGACACTAGGGAATAGGGGAGATCTTCATGTTCCATGCGGGCCTGGGATGATGGGCATTGGAGTAGAAGGAAAGGGTCTCTCTAACATTGCCTGTCTCCAGCAGGCAACGTTTTCTAGACTTTCCCTTTTTAATGTCTAAGAACGATCTGCCATCTTGTGAATATTGACAAAATCTCTGTGGCGGCCCAAAAGAAACAGGGGCCTCTCTTTGAAGCCCCGGTTGTGTGATGTGGTTGTTGGCAAACTCAGTCCTGAAGTGATGGGAGATAAAGGGGCTGGCAGAGTCACAAAATAGGAAGTGAAGGGGTAGGAAAATTAAGACTTTTATTCATTTTTTTATTTGGTGAGTTCGATTATTACAGCTGCCTTTTCAAATTCATGCCTTCAGGATTATTCTCATTATGGAGAATAATCCTGAAGAAACGGCATCCAAAGTAAACAAGTTCCAAAATGGAGAGAAAGCTCAAATCATGGAAGTTTTAGAAATTTTACCTCAAAACAAGGGTCCATGATGGAGAAATGAATGGTGTCTCATAGGTGACTGGAGAAAAGGTAGAATTACAAAATGATGGAAGGCAAACCTTGAGAAGTACATATAAAGTTCAAATGCCGTGAGGGGAAAAAGGAAAATGGCTTCATTTCAGTATTCAGTAGGGAATACACCTCAGGAAATATGAGTAGGAATTTTGAAGACTGTAAGGCAACTGCACTAAAGAAAATACCAATTTTCTTCTAGCAAGAAGAGCTGAAAACTCCCGTGGTTTGAGAAATTTAGTCTGGATTTGGAGGTGACAGTGCAAGAACAACAAAGAGATTTATCTAAATTAATGAAATAAAGAAATGGGGAAAT